TATACTATTTATTTATACATAATACTCTACGCTTCCATAATTTTACATCTTTTTACATTTTTTTACATACACGTATATTTATCGTTACATATTGATGGATGATCATCGCTCAGTTAACATTTACACTCTCGTTTTGCCTTATTATTTATCGATCTTGTTTACTCCAAAAGGCAATTGTCTATTGTGGCGCTCACCTTGTTGATTGTTTCTTTTTTTATCGGAGTTTTTTGTCAAACAAAAACCTTTGTGTTCCTACGACCGCTCACGCGTCCTGTGGGAATGCTGTCGAATTTGGGTTTCCGTGCTTAACCTTTAACACATCAGCACCCACGCTCAATATTTGTGAATGAACATGTAAAACACGCGACATGTTTATTTTCGGTTAATATAAATAGTATAATACTCGTACATGATCGGTGGCAGTTTGCTATGTACTCGTACAATTTAACAAATAACTGAACCAATTTCTTTTCATTTTATATTGCAGAATAACAATTAAAGGTCAGAAATACTCAATAAAGAAAAATTGAGCACGAAAAAAATTTTAATTTCCACCTATAAAGAACCAGTTAGCCACGGTTTTAGACACAAAATTGGTGCTTCATAGACGGACGGCCAAGCTGTGCGTAATATCTATTATTTACGGGAGTAGTACATTCTAATTAGTAAAGTATTACTTTACATTTTCCGGCGATAGAATCGAAAAATCGAAAAAACTTGTGTAACTTTACGCTCTTAATTATAAAAGTAATATATCTGCAGTTTCTAATTAATTTCAGACGATAGGTATAGGGGAAGGTAGCCTAATTTGGACCAGCGCCTAAGTTGGACCACCACGATATCCGCGGACTGTTGAAGTTTGTGCAAAAATAGACTGGCCCCTCGTTTTACTCGTATTTATAAACAATTAATGCAACTATTTGGGTTAAAACTTGCCGCGTGCTTTCGTCGTGGCAACAAATTCGTGTATCATTGATTATCAAATCTATTATAACGACGTAAGTGCAAGAGCTGTCAAGCCGTTTAAACGTTAGTTTTACCGATTATTATTTTATCATCAGAAAGCTTCTTTATTTATCAATAATTTATAGTATTAATTTTGATAGGTTATGTTATATTAAGATTGTCGTTGATCATTAAATATAAATTCTTCAAGTTGCCCAAGTTGGACCGAAGACAGGCACCGGGGTTTTAACAGGGAAAACGTATATCATTTTTTCGACCTCCTAGAAAAGTTTGTGGACGAGCACAAATCTTCGAAATGATCCACTGTATGAAATGCCGCACTTTGGTTTATACAAAATGTGCTTGTGTTAGTGCTAAAACTAAAATTTACTATTGTGTCAATTGCCGTTAAAAAACCATGGTCCAATTTAGGAAACCGCGCGGTCCAATTTAGGAAACCGGTTTCTTAATTTGGACCAAAAACACAATTTTTTTAAATTGAAATTTGAGGGGTATAAATATAATTTTTACTTAAACCAAAAATATCATTTTGTTGGTAAGCCTTGTGAGTTACTTTTCCGCTACTTAATTTTTATTGACAGTTTATATGTGGCTCTATAAATCAAAAAATATAAAAATGGTCCAAATATGGCTACTCTCCCCTATATTTATCACTAGCTTTAATATAACCCGCGGCTTCGCTCGCGAATATCTAAAATAATGAAGTTGCTTCCGTACGCGTCTGTAGTCACAGAAGAAGTAACAATGAAGTAGAATGGCGGGAAGATTAAAATGGCTGAAAGTATAGTCTATGGAAGTATAGTGTACAGTCTCCATAGTGTAGTCAATTGGATTTGGTGTTGACTTAGCTGTCGGTAATACAGTGTGATAATACAGTGTGATGGTACTATAGTACTTAGGTTTGAGCTAGATGGCGTTAAAGTAGTCAAATAGCCAGATGCAGAGGTATTATTGGCTAAACAATTTCTTGATTTTATTTAAAAAATATTTTTTTTATTAAATAAAAAGTAGCCTATAACCATTCGGGGATTACTAAAAATATGTGTACAAATTTTCATGATGATCGGTTAAGTAGTTTTTGCGTGAAAGTGTAACAAACATCAGGACTTTCGCATTTATAATATTAGTAGGGATTGAGTCTGTGTATATAAAAATATCATATTCCATGCATATTTGTTTATTACTAAATCTCACGTATACTTTATGCACTTTAGTCACTAACACTAACACTTGAATTGGTCCAACAAGGACAAAACTTTAGTTATCTTAACCTACAACCACAACCAAACTTTCAGATTGATTAATTTATGCATTATTGCCATCAAAACTCTCAAACTGCCCAGCGAAATTACCGCATTGCATCTTGTAGTAGTCTTGTATCTTCTAAGTGCAATTTGATTAATAAATAATAACAAACTTTGCGCTAACAAGAAACAAGCACATCAAGCCAACCAAACAACACAAATTAATTAAAAAACTCGTTAAAAACATCTGTGCTTACATTTAAATCTTTAAATCTTACTAAAACTAAAGTAAGTAAAGTAGGCAAGAGGTAAAAATAATTGGAAAAAGTTATATTCCAAATGTAAAACTCCTCAAGCGCGTAATGCATTGCAGGATGAAGTAAGTTTTTTCTTTAAGATACTTTTGCACATTTAGATTACTTTTGCGGCTTCCGAACAAAATTAGCATACAAAATGTATGCATTTTTACATTGAAATTATTGTAAAACAGATCTAGGTTAGTACCGCCATCTAGTATTTCGTAATGATAACTTTTGTTTCGAAACTTTTGCAGCGCTCAACGGTGTCATGTTATATTTTAGCTTTTCGGCGTTATCGCTTTCCATTCAACTTTCTGCAACTTGTTTTACGTACCAGGAGCACAACAAAGAGCAAATACGAGTCCGCTACGCTTTTATTAAAAAACTAAAAGCACATGAAAGCGAACATCAAGTTTCACTCGTTGAGGTTGAAGTGGATAATTGCTACCCATTTCATGTCGTTTACGTCTTAATAGCAGTAACTGTTGTTTTATTCATTTTTTATACCAGGTGTTGAAAAGTATAAAAAATTCTCCTTATATAATACAATATGACTAATTTTTGATCTCCAGCGCCATCTATCGCTTTAAATCTGTAACAAACGCAGGAAAACATCATAACCTAATTTAAATAGTCTTGTGACACCCTGTAGTTGAATATAAATACAGACATTAGTTGTCGTTGTTAGTATGATTTAAAGAAGACGGAAAACACGTTCATTCTAGTTTTATGCCAGCGATTTGAATATGGCGTTACATCAAAATGCGCTCGTTAAAAACGCACGTCCCGTGGCTGACGGCTGTTATCAACCGGCGCCGAAAATTCCGTGAATGTTTTACCTTTTGGCGGTTGGTATTGCGGTAATTAACTACTCACGCATGTCCATGTAAAATGTATTATTAACCGCAATAAAAGAGAGAAAGTAGGTTTATGTTGATGAACTTTTAAAACATAGATGGCGCAAACTAACAAGTGTTATAAATTTTACTCAGTTTCATAGGGTTAATAATAAATTATTATTAACAACTCATTATATGACCTTATGAACCATAAACAAGTATAATTGTGTTGCTTAATTAAAAGAAAAATGAATTTAATTTAATTTTGCACTACTAGCGCCATCTATTTACTACTGATTAAACTATATGCAACCAAATATGCTTATTTCCGTGACTATACTATATGTATCTATCAAACACATGTTTTTTCCATAAAACAACTCAATAAACATCCTCAACTCGTATTTTTTCCTATCACTTGAAGCTAATCAATCCAATTGCAACTCAACTCCCTAACCTAATTCAATCATGAATCAATTTTGATCCGGTTCATTTTACGATCGAGAATGAAACACGTATAACTTACCTTTATCGCTTGAACCGAGTACACATATGTGTTTCCGGTCTACCTTTGGTGTACAACTTACTCGTACTCGTGTACGACTGTAAGCCAGACCGTGCGGTGTTGGATGCATTTAATCACAAGTTGCGCCTAGAGGCACACATTTCATAGCTGGCCAATCGATGGAAATCGCATTGAGCTGTGAGGACGCTCGGGTGTATGGTTCGTTTATCATTTTTATTTTCAAAAACGACGTTTTTTTCATGGATTGAAGTACACTTAGCGTCGAGTGCTGAAACCCTCTTCATTTTCGTTTTGTTTTTCGTTCGTTCTCCGCGAACATAATGAATAATGAGCGTGGGGAGTAATTAATTTCTGGATGGCACTCGATGGATGAAGCATGCGGATGATTTTTGAAATTTGGAAATTTTAGAAGTCGTATTATCTTTCACATTGATCCTAAATTAAAATTTTGGTGTTTTTTTGTTTTCATTATGTATTTAATTTTTTAATCATGCAAAATACATTTCTTCTAAATATTTGATTAAAAAGGTGTTCTTATTTGTATTATTCTTAATTAAAATGTGTTTAATTAATGCAATTCGAGGAAAAGACAAATCCAACTACTCGTATTCTGAGATTATAAATTGTTTAAGCCGGTAATAAATGACGCCACAACATTTGCGTCTTATTTGATTTTGCCGGCGACTTCGTCCGCGTAGTTTTTAAACATTTAATTAGTTTCTAGTTTCTTGTACAAGACCTAGTATTTGTCGACTCTATCAGTAAAATTCCAATTTAACTTTAAATAAATTATAAATTAGAAATCGAGTATTTTTACCAATTTTCATCCCTTATTTAACGCCCTTTAAATTATAAATTTTAGTATTTTAATAGTTATTTTCGAGACAAAGACGAATCTAAAAAATCATAGATCATTAAAATCTGTCCAGCCGTTCTTGAGTTATAAATGTTTTAACTAACACAACATTATTATAACTAAATATATATTAAATCAATATAGTAGCTCCATCTAGTAAAATATTTCTTCTCCGGCTATTTAGTGGATAGAGTTTATTTAGTTAGTGTTAGGCAACTTTATTACTTCCCCTTTTATAAAATAAAATTAATCAAATAAAAACAAATTAAATCAATCATTTAATTCAATTTATTGCATCAATTTGGAACTTTGAAGGTTTTCCCAATCTAGTTTTTTTTTTTCATCCTCTTTATCCTTTTATCCTCGAAATATCCGCGCACTCGAAAGTAAAGTTCCGAATTGATTAAGCTTAATCAAATATTGGACCTGGACGTTGATGGTTTTCTAGGGTCTGCAATCAGTTGTTAATCCTTTGGATCAGTGGTACCTGTAACCATTGTAAATTTTGTATTTTAATCAAAGTATCAGGACACCAATTGTCAAATATAATTCAGCATACCATACCATATTGTTAATTTTATTTCCATTTTCTTTTTTTTAATTGCTGAATAATTTATTGCATAAATTGCATCAATGTATTAATTGCATCAATGTATTAATTGCCACCTCCACCGCCTCCACCTTGAGAAAAGTATGCAACAACTGCTGCACACCAAAGAACAATCACACAACACGACGCAACCGGAATTCCTTTCGGTTCATCCATGTCAATTTAATTAAATTACAAAAATAAATTTTCCGAGAGAAAAAAAAATATGGCAGTTGATCGCTATTAATTTTTATCACCACTCAAACGTCACATGAACATGACAGTTAATTAAACAATCAAAATATTAATTCAACCACAACCGTATAAAATAATAATTAATTTGTTGTGACGCAAATGCGTTTCCATAATTTATTATTTAATTAATCAGTAATTGTCGCAATGTAGTAATTAGTGGCAGTATAGATTTTTTCACCGATTGGCTGCAATTGAATTGGATCGCTGAAATGGCAACGTAAAAACAAAGATTCGACGTGCAATAACAACCAATGCGCGATAATAAATGTGAAATTAATGCAAAACTAATTGCCAACTACACGAATCGCAAATCGAGACGCTCACTCGAACAAACATGCAATTATGGCGGCTAATATTCAATTATTTAACATGTTCAGAATGTGCGCTTATTATAATTATATCATGTTAACAAGCATACAACATTCTAGTAGGTATTTAATTTATAATGACTATCTGTGCATAGTACTTTTATAACATTAATAAAATAGTTGTGGTTTGAAATGGTTAATAAATTATTTGTGTGGTGAATGTAGGTAATTTATACCACAGTTATATATAACCTAAGTTGATACTTTCTTCATCAAATGCAATTTAAGTTATTATGCAAAGTGACTTTCTATGTTTGTTTCTCTTTCACGCCTAAACTACTGGATTTGTTTTGACAAAAATTTGTATAACAATAGAAAAAGCATTGGAAAAGGATATAAAATACTTTTTATTCCAAAAGTTACAAATGGATTAAAATTAATTAAAATTATACATGTTTATTAAAAATGTAATTTGTTTTTACTCTCTTCTAGACATAGCATGTGTCTATTCCATCAATAAGATTCGCAATTTTATTTTAAAGAAATTAATTATATAAAGAATTGCTAATAATGCAATTCAGCGCGCAATTTTGGATTCAATTATTTAACTATAACTATGATTGAATCTCAATGCCAACTTTTATCCTATAGAAAAAGGCTGTCTTTAGAGTTTTCCCGGCAATTATTCGAATTTTTCTCGCCGTAAAAACCATCCTTGGACTTTAACGAACATTATTAAAAATTAATTGGCCAAATTTGTCTAGGCATTGTTATGTTATGCGCTTACCAACAGAATTTGCGATTCATTTTTATATTATAGATTATTTTTTGGATATTTGTAATGTTTGTCGGGAAAAGTGATTATACACTAGTATTTTAGTGTTTGCTGACGCAAATTCGGTTATTAATAATATGCTAGTGTTCTTAAGCAAACAAAACAATAAATCCCCAAACTTTCCCCGGCGATAATTTGTAATTTCATTAGCAAAACAAATTTTCCCTTTGCTGGCCACTAATTTCTCAATTTATGTTATTGTTTTCCTCAAGGACACAAAGAACGCCCTAATAACGACGATATTTTTAACTCGAATCATATTCTTGGCACAAAATATTTGCAAACTTTCCGCAATGACAACGCCGTTCGCTCTTGGCGTTAGCGTCGGCGTCCACGACGACAAAAGAGTTTTTCACTTGGCTTTTTCGCCCCGTAGGCAACCAGTTGTAAGTTACGTCAGTTGGCTCTGCTTTGTGGGAAGTATTCGAAGTATGGAGTTGAAAAATAGTCGGCGCGAAAACTTGCGAACAAATTATGTCATGATTACATGATATAAATAAAGACTTCTTGATTGCCGTGTGTTTCTGGCATGTCTTTCTTTCCGCTTTCTCGCATTCCTCGGCTGTCCTTTCAGTTCTCTTTGGTCTTTGGGTCGGCGCGCCTTTTGTTCACCGTGTTGATTAATCGCGACTAATGAGTTTTCTCCGCGGCGGGGACTTTTCATGCCGCATTTACAGGCACTTTTTCGAGGTTATTTGAGTTATCATATTTTCTTCTGTTTGCTCATATTTTGTGTAAAATTTTGGGTTCATAGGCATAATGACTCTTGGACCGACATTAGAGCCAAATGTTTTGGTAGATTGGGTTTTATTTGGTTAGTTGTAGAATTTGTGGAATGTTGGGGTAGGAAAATGTCTGTTATTTATATAATAACCATGTGAATAGTTGACAAAAGAGATATGACATGGAAAAACGGGTTGTAAAGGATATTTATATTAATGAATATTTATTTTTCATTGTTTTTCTGTTTATTTAATTTTTATTTATTTTTCTATTTATTACAAACAAGATTTTGCCCGCGACTTCGTCCTGGTTGTGTTTAATAAAAATGTAATTTGTTTTTACTTTCTTGTTCTAGACATAGTATGTGTCATTTCTATCAATAAGATTCGCTATTTTATTTTAAAGAAATTAATTATATAAAGAATTGCTAATAATGCACCTCAGCGCGCCATCTCGGATTCAACTATTTAACTATAACTATGATTGAATCTCAATGTCAACGTTTATCCTATAGAAAAGGGCTGCCTTTAGAGTTTTCCTGGCAATTATTAGAATTTTTCTCGCCGTAAAAACCCTCCTTGGGCTTAAGCAAACATTTTGAAAAAAGAATTGACAAATTTGGTCTAGGCGTTGTTGAGTTATGCGCTTACCAACAGATTTTGCGATTCATTTTTATATTATTGATGGACATTCAGATAATAGGTACAAAAAGCAGGAAAGTAATTCCTTAGTAATTTTAAACTAAAATAAAAGCTCAGTAAGAATAAAACATAATTCACACTTTTATATAACGCCATCTATTGATGTATAGTTTAAAATTTTAAGGCATGCACAAGATTTAACTATCAGATTTAATATTATTATTGAAATATGTTTGTACATTTTATAAAATTGCAACAGAATAATCTAATAAATACCTATTTGTTTTGTATAATAATAAATTGGCATTTTTTCTTCCTGGAATGTTCAACATGTTGTTAAACTCACTTCACGTTCAACAAAAAGAAAAACAAGAAAAATTAATTCCACGCACGACTAGAACATATCTGCAAACGAAATATTCATCAAAACAACAAAAATCCACCCGCGGCGTTTCCCATTTTTAGGATGCTTATCATCGATTATGCTGGGCGTTCAAACGATTTACTCTGATATTCTCTTGTTATCGAGGAAAAAAATACACGAGCTATAAACTTCATTGCATACCACGTTTCACATTCCGCGCTACATACCATAGTAGGACCGACGTGATGTCGGTGAAAGAGAACCTACGACTACGCATTTAGCCCCCCGGGGAGTCTTCTAGGACCCAAATATTTCGAGGTGCCTGTGGCGTGGCTAGTGCCACGATAAGCGATCACAGATGATAAATGGATGATATAGATCTGCAGACTATACCTATATCTGTTTGGTAAGCTGGATAGTGGATATTGATAACACAGAGCAAAATAGTGAAAGAATACACTTTAGGAGGATGTAATATAGCAGGAATAGTTGAATATGATGTAATACGACGAAAGACAACAAACAACAAAAATACATATGTTTTTATCTTTTTATTTCAATGAGCATTTTTATGTTTTCACAATGATTTGTTATCTTCTTCCCGGAGGAAATGTTACAAGTAGGGGTGAATATTTAAAAAGACAGCATATTATTTTAGAGAAATGAATAATGTGATAAATTGTTTTGTCATGAGCATAGGTTATACAAACTAGGTTAATTTATCATCGTGACGAGCACTATCGTGATCTAGGTATATTATACCTAAGTGTTATAGCTTTAATAACTATCAGTGACAATGGCACTTTATGTAGATTGTAACAAAAGTATTTTATTTTGATAGCAAAAATATCATTTTCACTTATAAAAAAATGATAGAAACTATATTTGTTTAATGATTTTTTGTGTTAACAAATAACTTTTTTAATAAAGATTTTTGTTGGTTGGAAATATGTTCTTCGGCATTTAATATAGCGTAATACTAGCTAAACTTCGATAAAGTAATAAAAGTAGTGGATATCTATTTTAATTGCATTTATTGGCCAAAATCGATCGGGGGTATAGAGCAATTATGGAAATATATAGTTTTGACATCCTTACGAGATATTAGTATAATATTAAGATATTTAGTTGATATTTGCTCAGATTTTGACATAATAGTATATTAAGTATCAAGTGGCTAAATGAGGACTTTACTCTCGAGATTGATTGCGAGTCAGCGTAGCGAAAATTTTAGCAACCGAGTGTTTAACAACTCTATTTTTCCTACTTCCATTTAATTTACACGTTGAGGTTTTTATATTTCAACTTTTTATTTTGAATCTTCGAAATTTGCTCGCACACTACTACAAAATGTAAGGCTATAAATACAATACTGTGCGCCGGGCTTTGTGAGGCATCGGGCCATATCGTGCCGCTCCGACACGAGCAGCAGCAGCGCTTGCTTTGACGCGTTTGACTAACATTGCATGGCATTTCATACCGTCTTGTGCTGCTCCGTAGGCAAATACGCAGGCGCAAGCTCCGTCCCGTAAATAATGCTAGTAGATAATGGATATTACACACGACTTGGCCGTCCATTTATGAAGTACCACTTTTAGTGTTTAAAAACGGAGGAAAAACTGGTTCTTTACAGGTGTTAGTAGAAAATTATTTTTTTTTATAAAATCTAATAATGAATACATTTCCGAATTGGATGATTAATCAAAAATACAAAAAATTCTAATTTTTTAAATTTATATAACTTTTTTGATGTCTGTTGATGGAGCTGTGACTATATACCATTTAGGTAATATTTTTTAGTGTTTGCTATTCTCCATTAAAGCTATTCGCCGCATGGGCACGCGTGTCACGTGCCAACTAGTCATATACACGATCGAATTACCACCTTCGTGCGGTTTTCACCCCAAATACTAGCGCTAGATAATTACATATTCTACGAATTCTACATAGCCATTGAGTTTTCATGCGCCCGCATGCTGGCAATTCGCTGGTATTACTTTTATGACAAAACTAACATAAACATACAAATTGCATTAATTTCATACATCGGTACACAATTATTAAGGTTATGAAGTCATGATTACAGCAAAATTAATACATATATACTTTTGTTTCAATTATTTTATTAATTTGAATAATTCTACTGCTACATTTTATATAATTCTATAGTGATAATAATT